ATTATATGAATCATAAAATATTTTTATTTCATAAAATTAAATATATTTAAAGAAAATAAGAAAATTTCTTCAGATCAATGGCGTGATTGAATTAGGGTACTGCTCAGGTTAATTGAATTACTTTTAGGTGATATTTAAAATAGTCAAAAAAATTAACACAACTTGGTTGGTCCCAGGTGACTAAGTTATGTATCAGTTCGACCACACAAAATCGATTATTGAACCTAAATATAAATTTTATATTGAAAATATTTTATTACGTGAATGTAATGTAGTCCAAACTTCAAATAGTCGTATTAACAATACTTTATGACAACATGTTTAATGATTTAGAATATTTAAATATCATTTTATTAATATTTATGTGAATTAAATAATATTTTATTATAATATTTATTAATGAACAGTAAATATAAGGTTTTCAGAACTGCACCATCATCGAAACGATCAAGATATTTCATTAAAGCATTTGTGGTTTGTTCAGATTTTAATTTGTAAACATTTTATTATATATGTATATATATATATTACTTTTTGTAATAAATTTAAATAAAATGTATTACATAGATGTCTAAACAATTTATAAATTCAAATGTTTAAACTAATTTATAAATAATTTATAAATCTCTATTTTATTTAAATATGTAATTTTATTTAAAATAATTTTAAATATAACAAAATTTATTTAGAATATCGTATCGATCCTACCAGTCTAACCGACTGGTGTTGACGGATTTGAGAGCAAATATTTTATTCAAGCGAACTAGACTGGTTATAAATCGGTTCTCAGTCCATCCGGTCAGATTGTGTCCAACCCGATTTAATTTAAAAACAATGGATAAATCATGATTAATGTTATTTATATAATTAATTTATAATACAATCGTAATATTGTTTTCCCGGGCCACGCACTAGTATTTATTAAATTAGTTGGTTCAATTCATTTTTTTTTGGTAAACATTGTATAGCTATTTAAATATAAGAAAATAATTAAATAAAAATATTGTTGTAAGTTAGCCAATTATACTTTACATTGTTAATAATATTTAAATAGTTTTAGAATAAAAAATGCTCTTCTAAGAAATATCAAACATCAGAAATAAATGATTACCAGTTAGGTTGCACAACAAATAATCAACTATTGGATTCATAAAATAAGAAAAATGCTACAATCTCGTCACGGAATGATTCCATGAGGGTTTTTAGCCATTAGATATATAGTTATATATCATTTGGCATGTAAATTGATATATATTAACTTTGAAGTTTCGAATTAATAATTGATTCATCTTTCCCGTCTCAAATTATTATAAAATAAAATTTTAAACTAATAGTTTTAGATCTTTTAAATCGTTGGTAGGATACACAAACGAGTAAATATCCATTATTGATTTATAAATGACATGAATGTTTATAAATTAATATTATATAATAAAAAATTGTTTGTTGAAGATTTAGGGTGTGATTGGTTATAAATATGTTCAATACATACTTAATTCATACTCAAAATCTAACTCAATTTTAATTCAATCTCACTATCCTCAATATTATCAATGTAATTGAATAATATCAATTAATCAATTTTACACATCACATCAATTTTAATTAATTATTCATTCACTCACTTAATTTTAACTCATTATCACTCCACATCATCTCTCTCATACTTTTATGTCATATCAACTTTGATTATTTTAATATAAATTCAAAATCACAATAACAGTTAACCATACTATTGTTTTCTCAAAGTTAACCTGGTTAAAAAAAATAATATTTTAAATGAATATATTTGTTTCCAAACACACCCTTAATCGCACAAGTTCGAAAAAGACTAAAAGAGGTTCATAATAAATCCCAGTGAGTTATGTGACAAATAATCATACTTTTTTTTTTTTTCCCAAAACGATAGAGGTACTATATAAAAAACCGCACAAAGTGCGAAGAAAAGCAGCCAAAGGCTGAATAGTACAACCAGAGACTGGAAAAACTGAGAGGCAGATCCAGAGGATCGCCTAGAGCCAAGTCTAGCAACGCTAGAATAACAAACTCGCACTACAAAACTACAGAAACAACAACTAAAAAACTAAAAGATCTCAACGGGATAATACCCGAGTGTCTGATCCCAACAGGATAATAAGGTGACACTCGGGCTCACTGAGGCCAAATAGCCCAAACAAAAAACACAGGTCCTAAAACGAAACAAAACAAGCACTAAAAAGACAACAACTAAACACACTAGCCCTCCCTCTACAGAAAATCCTAACCAAACAAGCAACCACCAAATCAACCTAAGGGAATTCCATAGCTTGAGAAGAGCGACCCCTCTACTGCCGAACCGCCTACTTGGTACATGATTTTTAAAAAATGAAAAAGATGATTATAATAGTATACTTTCCATCACTCAAGTCTTACTCTTAATTATGATGCTTTTATTCAAGATTACTTACAATAAGGATACATATTACTTTGTGTGTTTCTAGACGTGGTTAGACTTGTCAAAACGGGCTGAGGCCCGCGGACCGGGCTGGGATATTAGAGGCATGCTAGGGAGCGGGCCTAAATGGTCCAACCCTCGGGCTTCGGCGGAGCGGGTTTAGCGGGCCGCAAGCTAGCCGGCCTCTTTTTAATATATATATATATATATATATATATATATATATATATATATATATAAATAGATTAATTATTTAGCCCAATAAAATAAATTAGTACGTACCTCGTGCGATGCACGGGACAGAAATATTAGATGAGTTATTTTCAAAGGCTTTGTCCGTTTAAGTATATAAAGCAATAGGGTTATCATTTATTTTCCATCTCTTTTAATCAGCGTTAAGTGTAATAAACAATAAGGTTACAATCTATTTTACACCTCTTTTAATCAGTGTTGTTTTTTAGTCAAAACATTAAATATGAGCATGTTAGGGCTAACTTGTAAAATAAATTAATATATTATCTCACTAACACATTTATACTAATATTAATTTGATTTTAGTATATATATTTATTGCTTGATATAGGCAAGAATAACAATTTTATTTATTATTGTTCACCATATAATACTTCTTTATTATTTTATTATAAACTTTGTTGTCATATAATGTCATTATTATTCATAAAGTTATAGAAGTTGTACGTCTTCTTATTTTTATTTTATGTAATGAAAAATATTTAATGCACGTTAATATTATTAATTTATGTAATCAATTTAAAATATGTAAGTAAATTTAAAATTAAATAGTGTATAAATATTTTAGAATTAAAATTCAATAGTGTATAAATATTTTAGAAAATATACACATATTTTTTTTAGAATTTAATTTTATATACTAATTAAACAACTTTGATTTAGAAAATGCCAAAAAATCAATCCCTTCTCTCATCAAGATTTTTCTAATTCGCATTATAAGGATTTATATTTTATTTAGCATACTCTGCAATGAAAATATATTTTACAAGAATTTAATTATAGAAATAAATATAAAAAAATAAAAATAAAAAAATAATCATGGGTGCCAATAATATACATATAAATTCTATAAAATAGTTAATATATTTCAATTTTAATTTTTTTACCATTAGTAAAACTATTTATTATATCTGGTCATTATCTCTTAAATGATAACTTATATTAATTTGAAGAAAAATTTATTTTTTATATTTAACAAAATAAAGCTTAAGAAAAAAAATGGCAAAGATTAATTCACCAACTTGATTGTGTCTGATTACTTGGAAAAAAATTCTACCTAACCTGTTACAATTTTTCATAAATATTTTTGGATAAAAAGTAAATATTTGTGAAAAAAAAAATTAATACTATGGTTAATACTTAAAATATGGTGTAATATTTATCTTGACAAAAATATTATCAACATGGATCATGAAAATCAATCTTGTAATTTATTATAATGAATATCAATGAAAGTATTACAAATATTAATAAAATAATATTTGTCTTGACCAAATTTTATCAACTTGAATCACGGAAAATCAATCTTGTAATTTATATTAATAAATATCAATAAAAATATTGCAGATATTAATAAATTTATTTAATTAATTCTTTTATCATATCTTATTTGAAAACGTGAATATGGAAGCAATTAATGCATATTTAAAAAATTTCTAAAAATGATATGCATTAAATGTTTCTTAAATTTTTTATTACTATTTTTAATAAATAGTAATTCTTATTATATAGATACAGATGTAAATATAGATTCAGCTTCAGCCTTCAGCCCACGAGATAAATAAAAAATAAAAGGCCGATTTTAATTTTCAATCCTCCATTGAATCGGTAGTAAGGGGATAATCATTTTTATCAATCATCAATCCTCATCTTCAATTCTCCATTCTCCAGCCCTCATTTCACTTTACTTTTGAGGAATCGGCCGATTGTTCTTCCCGTAGGACCCGTACGAATCGAGCACAAAGAATGTCCACTGACACGTCGCGCTGTGGTGCCGAGATCCAGGTTCCTCCGCGCGGGCTCCGACTGTCACGTGGCTCTCTGGATCTCCGCTTAGGCTAGTGAGTCTGACTCTGGAGTGGTTTGCGGCGTGCGGTGGCTTGTCGCAATCGATAGAGAGGCGAGGGAATATCGTCGTGCTTATGGTCGCGGACGGAGGAGGATGAGGAGAGAGAACGTCGGGAGGAGATGGGTAGTGCTGTTTCCCGATTCCTTTAGCAGGGGAGAGTTAGGGCTACAGATTTTTGACGGGTGGATGTTTCTTTCTTTTTTTTTTGAAGACGACAGGAACGAAGGATGAGGAAGAACGAAGAAGAAGAGAGGATGG